ATCAAAGAGAACTGGGGCTAAACTTCTGATATAACAGAAGTTTTATTATAAATTTTAAAATTATGCGGGCATGATATTTACATGATTCGTCAAAATTCCTTGAAACTTTAATCGGCTAGTTCAGAGAAATCACTCATACAAGCAGGATATTCACATTCTTATGAAATATGAATGGAAAACAGAATTACTTTGGAATATTGTCAGCACATTACTTTCTTAAAATTAATATCTCATGTATAATGGTGTATTTGTATAACACTGTACACAAAAACATTTTATACACTCTTTTGAAGAAAAATCGAAGCACCATGAAGGAAGCGGTTGTTTTTGATGAAACTGAATGTGTGCATAGCTCTTACACAGATAATAAAATGATTAAAAAATCAAGGTTATAGTACCTGTTCATGGCTCACAATCACCCATTGAGTGTTCAAATTAGTAGTGGTCGAACCGCCCTGGCGGCAAGCATGCTGCATCGCGAGAGAAGAGTGTAGAGGTCTAGTCATCCTATTTCACTCCTGTCTGCCATATTTGTGGTTCCGACTAGCAGCTACATGTCCGACATTCCAATGGTGAAGGTCTGATGACCTTGCTGCCAAGAAGAGTACTAACTCATGGAGACAGTCCAGAGATAGCAGTGGTATGTAGCCTGCTTATCTGTTGGAAAAGGCCAGGATGACGTGTATGAAGGGTATGCAACGGCCGCGATAGTATCAACATATCTTTGAGGTTAAGATCTCGGAGGATGATAAGAGCCGGCTGTCAAAAATAGCGCCCACACCTCACACCAGGGATATGGCTGTATGCCTTTGTAAAACAAAGCTGATTGACGCTCACCCGTTCCTCTCCAGACACGACACGGCAGTCAATCAGCTTCCGAGTGAAGTGGGATTCACGCTGACGATGCGATGCCGTCTGATGGCGCCATGTGAGCGGCTGCGACACTACTCCACACTCAGCCGATTTGTGGGATCAAAGGCAAACATCTTAAAGCCCCTGTGAGAGTAGCCCCCTAGACAGCGCTGTGAGATGGTGGATGTACCACGAGAGTATAGACGTGGCTTAGTGTGTTGATAGTCGAAATGTCCATTGGGTGTTTGGAATCAGTCATCCTATCTAGCCTGCATTAATGCACTACGAACAGTCATCCTATCTTGCTTGCATTGTGATCCTTGGCCTTAAAGATCCTTCATTTCATTGCATTTCCTAGTCGCACACTGTGCCAAAATCTTGACAGTAGGCTGTACACTGCGGTGGCGGCTATTGCTCGATATAACCACCCGCTTCTGAACCTACAATATGAGCACCCAAAGCGTTAGCTTCGTAATCTTGATATTGCCGTAGCACCTTTATTTTTCTTTACGAATTCATGGCACAAAAAAAATTAAACTTCCACTCTGTTACTGGTTTTATTTCTGTCATTTGCCTGTAAACTTTGAATCTTTGCTTTCGAGCAAGATGTTTTTGCCTCCCAAATTCATAATGATTGCAAATTCCTCTTGGTGCTTTTTTTGAAAATAGTGTATATTTTTATTTATTATTATTTCTAAAAATTAATACTATTCAAAGAAATCATCATACAGCAGGAATTCACATTTTATGAATGAATGGAAACGAAATTAATTGGAATCTGTCAGCACAATACTCTTTAAATAATTGTATGGTACACTTGTTTGAAAAATTTACAGAAAAACAGTTTTATATTTTTATTGGGTAACAGTTTTCAAACCCGTTTTGAAAATCGATTTTTAAGTGAGAGAATTAAAAACCAATAGCTGTCATTCTGGGCCTGACTAGCCAATTGCAGCCTTTAGATTCAGTGAATAACCCTTAAGGAAAAAGTGCGAGAACGCGGAAAAGTGGATAGAGAGCCACATCACCCCTCAGGTAGAATGACGGCCTCTTGGGTCGAGTGAGTAAAAGATCTGTAGGGCGTAAAGGCTGACGTAAATTGTTAAGTCTTTAGAGTGCAAATCAGAATGCTGACGGAACAGAAGACTCATTCTTCGAAGAAGATATACTAGCGTGAGAACCATGTGATGACGATATTCTCGTTCGATGATGATGATATTGGAAAGTTTTTAATCGTTTTGAAAGTGATTAAAGTCTATTTCATGATAGGCACCTTTTCTTGTTTGTTGTTTTTTTTTTTTTCTTTTTGTAATGTTTATTCTTGCCGTTCATCATTATCATTACTGAATTTAAGTATCATGTTCAAAATAGGCTTGCCATTGTTAATTTTCCTAATAAAATATGATTGTAATTGCATGGAATGATGTTTATCTGGCTTTTACGAAACGCGAGAACTAAAGAAACCACATTTTAAGTATTGTGGTCCGCGCTGTCGCGCGGCCATTGAAACTTTTTCCCTTTGGTGGGCCTCTAATAAGGGGCATCTTAACTCAAATACGTAATTAAGTTTTTGCTACAAAAAGCAGAAGTTCATAACAGGATTATAATACTGCCGAATGACGGCAAAGATCATCACAAAATAACAATATCTATTAAAAATTTCTTTAGAAATCATTTAATAAAATATATTTCAGTAAAATTTTAAATTTTCTTTATTTAGATCTGCAATCATTTATTCTCAACCTATAAAATATTAGATCATATAGCCTACTTAAAAAGTATTTTAAAATGCATATTCTGCTAATTTGCTGCTAGAATTGATTAATTTTGTAGTTTGTAGTCTGAATTAGTGCATTTTATCCCCTGCAATTAATTAATATTTAAAGCCTGTCAACCTATTTGAGACAGAAAAATTTGAAAAACTACTTAAAAGACAGTTAAAATAAAACTCAATCCAATCCATTTCCTAAAAAACAAAACATAAATATATATCTACAAGTAACAGCTACTCCAAAATCAGAACAACAGTAACCTTTTTTCAGAAATTATGGGTAAGAAGTGTCTAAATATTTAAAGTAATATATAATAAATTATTACATTAAAAATGGTCCTTCGACACCGCTCCCCACAAAGTTTCATAAGGCAATGCATGCGCAAAATACTATGTGGCAAGCAATGATATCCAAAAAAATTTTTTTGTGGTAATCGAGATATAGACGCAAAAGCAGCAAGCATGCACTTTAGTACACTTGGATTTCCACCTTCCAAATGTGATGGTCATTTTTCTGAACAGTTTTGGTTTTTCCACTGGTAACTTTTTGTTTTTTATGAATCATAATGCGACTGTGGAGTCTGCTGGAAATGCAAAAGTTTCGTTTCTTCAAAAACATGGCTTTTGCCCAATATTACAGAGTACAAAATTTCACGTTCTATGAAGTTGCACTTTTTAAGTGACTGAATTTTATTGAAATACAGTATGAAAAATTTCAAGCAAAAGGTTAGATTGTAGTTTGAAAATTAGTTTGAAGATAGCCATAGCTCTTTTACAACAACCACTTGCGTCAGTTATTGTTGGGCAAAAGAATATATGTCATTGAAGTTCTGTGAAGAACTGGAATTATCCTCAAACATAACTAAGGATGGATGTAATGGTTTTTTATAATTAAGGATGGATGTAATGGTTTTTTATAACTAAGGATGGATGTAATGGTGTTTTCTAATTGTGCACAATGTCAAATCTGTACAATTCTCTGATTTTTTTAAAGCTAAGATAGATCACTATGTGTCCGGGGGGACAGCATGTTCAAAGGCAAATTTTTTTAGTTGTCTGACTTTTTTAAAGCAAAAACTGATCACTGTGTACATTAGAACAGCACACACACACAAAAATAAATAAATAAAAAATTACATAAGAAAAAGGAATGTATTTTATTATGCATGTTTCTGAATTTTAATTTTATTGACTAATTGTTTTTTTATGAAATTCTTAGTGCACAGACATTCTGAAAACTGCTGTTGCCTTTTGTGTATCAGTTTTGTGAAAAATAATTCACTAGACTTCTCTGGAGGAAGGTGCAAATAAATTGAATGAAATAATCAGAAATTACCAAAAAATTAAAAAAATCATCAATAAGAAGCCCTTTATGTTGAGTTACTAAAACAAATCAACTTATTTTAATGATACAAACTATGAATATATCATAATTTCTAATTTACCTTGTCAAAAGCTGCATGAGCTGTTACTGGTATTACCCTACAAATAATAAGTTTTCTGCCATTAAAAATAGTCAAGATAATAATACATATTACAGAAAATATATACAGCAAACAATACATGTTATAAAATAAAATGATCTAGAAATTTAAACAAGACAAATTTAAGTTATACAAAATACTGAATTTTTAAACCTGAAATATTTTGAAGCAAAACAGTTTGACTTACATATTTGGATTTTTTATACCCTTCTCAAACTTGGCAAAATCTCTATATGCTTTACAAGCAAGAAAAATACTTTCAGTTCCACCACTTGTAACCTATACATAAAATTAACAAAATCTATGCAATCAGAACACTTTTAGACATATTAATTAAGTAAAGACATATATGTATTAATAAAAATTTAGTTTAGTGATGTGGAAAAGATGAGATAATTATGGCAACAATAATTTCATTTAATAAAAGACAGCTGTGAGCATTAACAGATTTTCTTCTTCTTTCTTTTTCTTTTTTTCCATAATTCGTTAAATAAAACTTGATAAAGGCGATATATAAAATGAAAAAACAGGTGCACACTTTTTTTAAAAATTACAAGCTATGTTTCTCAAAACTATAGTCGACAGCAGAACAAAAAAAAAGTAAATAACATTTGAAAGGCTTCAGATTTTATATTATGACCAAAGGTAAATTTTTTAGCATTTTGTGTGTTACCTTTATTTATTAAATATCATGTTTACGTATCAAACCATAAACTCAGTTCAACAGCAATATCGCAATATTTTAATAAGCATATCTTTAGAATTTCCAAGCCATCCTGCACGTGCAGTAAAAATTATTTCCCCCATCCGTGTTGCCATGGTGACTTTAGTTTTTTTAATAAAATTTGCTAAGTGTTCCAAAATATGAAAGCGATAAAAAAAATTCATTCAAATTCGGCTTCCAGTGTCATATTCTAGGAGATTCCGTTTATATTTTGATGGCTCTGGTACCGTTGTTTTTATCACAATCGAGAACGTACAACATTCATGCATATTCTTCATATTTAATTTCTTAAATATAACAGGGCAATAATATTGCAGGCACAATTTTGAAAGTGAACAAGTTATCGTGAATCGACGCAAAATGCCAAAACGATAATAATAATCCTTCTGGGCAAATTGCACCTTTGGATGAGTGGATATGTTCCCAAGACAGAAGGAAGCATGAAAAATGGGATGATTATAATATGAATATTAGATTAAGAATAGAAAAGTTACACAGCATAAAAAACACAACTTAATGTGACCATGATTAATCATAGTACTTTTGATAACATTAATCGAATAACATAATTAAACGAAGACCTTCAAAACAGTAATTGAATTTAACTAATTTAATACAAATATAATCAGAAACATATAAATAGGTACTTTCACAACATTTTATTTAGGAACAGGCAAAAATTTGTTTATGGCCAAAAAAAGCCATCATAGTAGATATTTTCATACATTTTCTTTTCCAGGAGCATGGAAAGGGGGGGGAAGAATCCTGCAGAAGTTTGTTTTGCTCCTGAAGAGAGGAACTTGTGCCTGACCATCTTCAAAATGCACTCCAAATTAAAGGTTTTTTAAAAAAGTGGAAAAAAAAAACTTTTTTAAAAATGGTTGCTTAACATAGAAATCAAGCTGTTGGGTGACTTGATCCCTTACTTGGCAACATTTCTCTATCACTTGTAATTTTTATAATATATTTTTACCTTATTTGGCAACTTTATTTAAGTTTAAAAATGTAATTTATAACAAATTGATCAAATTAATCAAAATGTTGATACAATAAGTAAAGTATTTTCCATATTTTCACATACAAATGGGAGGGATTTCAGTAATTTCGTAATATCCAAATGAAAACATTAACCACAATCATATTAACTGTAATGCTTTATTTCTATTGATTAGTTACAAACTTTGGTTTGAATATTTTTAAAATACTGTTGGATAGAAGACTTCACTTTCACTTTTGAAGTTATTCAAATATATGCATCATTAGTGTTACATAAAAGTGATATAACAGGAATTAGTTTTGAAATAATGCACTTCAATAATACAAATTAAACTATTACCTTACATACACTCTCAAACACAGTATAATATTTGAAATCCAGATATCCAATATTGGGAATGATCTACGATCAGAACCTCTGCACCACCAGCCAAAAAAATAAAAATAAACAAAATAACCAGGGGGAATCTTAGCTTTCAGATAGGGGCATTTTTTATCTTACTATTAAATTCATGTCTTTACAGTAAACAAAATTCAATCAACAGCAATTCACAAAATATTTAAAACAACATATCTTTAGAATTTCCAATACACAGTCCGTGTGCTAGAGATAATTTTTTTTTTTTTTTCCCCCGTACAGTGTAGTAAGGCAAATTTTTAGAATTCATCAGAAGTTATTCTTTCGTTAAGTGAAAGAAAGCAATAAGCTGCTTTATTGAATCTTAAAGGGCAAATAAAATTACCCTTAATAAAGACTGTAATGTCTAACAAAGCTAAATCAACATATAACATAGGAAAATAAATTAGTTTACTGAGGAAAGCTTAAATTGCAAATGTATATGAATATATTGACAATTTTGAGCTTTTAAATTTTTCTAAATTTTAAAGTATTAAACTCTTTGGCGTTCTAGAATCTAATACTTCCTTACTTATGTACAGCTTCTGATGCTATCGAATTTCAATGTTTTTAGAAAAGTATACTGTTCGCCTCATTTAGAAAGTAAAAATAAATCTTTATTTAAATAAAATAATTGAAATCTTTCAGATTTTAACGGTCATACGAAAGGGTTTGCTGAAGTGCTTTATGCTCCTGCTGAGCTCCAAGTCTACCAGCCTGCTGTTGAACTCACTCCTACTAACCACTTTTTTTGGTCTTTTTAGCTTTATTTTTAATCATCATTATCTTCATGCTTACGCCACATAAAAAAATTTCAAAAGCAGTACAGCAGTATATGCTTAGAATTCTCGATGCAGCGTCAAGTGCTGGCACATATTTTTTGTTTTTAATTCTTTCCTCAGTTTTCTTACTAAGATGGATTTATACAACCTTTTTTATTTGATCTTTTTATTAATAAATTTTTGTGAGTTTATTCATTAAAAATGACGCTCTTGGCACTTACACCAGATACAATTCAACAAGAAATCCCAAAATACTTAAAAACAGCATGTCTTTAGAATTTCCGACAGACAGTGTCGCATGGAGGAGATAAAAATTTTTCTTTTCAGTACAGTGTTGCTACTACTCACTTTGAAATCATTGAGTTTGTTAATAAAAAAATTCTTTAATGTTTAACAAAATATGATATAGCTTATAAAAGAAATTCCAAATTTGAGCTTCCAGATGCCTATGATGGAGAATTCCAGATGCCTATGATGATGAATGGAGAATTACATTATTCAAAATTTGATGTCTCTAGGTACCGTCGTTTTTTCACAGTGCGAGAAACATACATATATTCATGCAGATTCTTTATTATTTTATTTCTTTAAATATAATGCAGGGCTCTAATATTTCATGCCAACAATTTGTAAAGTGAACCAACATTTATAGTGAACCGACGAAAATGCCAAAACGAAATTAACAGCTCTTTTGGGCAAATTGACCCTTTGGGCTAAAAAAAAAAAAAAAAAAAGGAGATTTTATAAAGTCTGGGAATACAGAGTATAATAACAAAAGGAAGCAAGTCTGCAGTAAATAGGATTTTCCTCCAGTCTAACTGAGAATCCTGCATGTCACTTTCAAACCCCTGCTGGCAAAAAGTCACACAACCATCAATCACAATGCATTGATTGACATTGCACTAAGGTTGGCTTATGGCTTACTTTATGTTCTTAAGTGGTTGTGGGGTAAGCATTGCCAGTGTTAAACAGAGCAATCTCTGCAGGTCCTAAATTCTGCTACAAGTAACTTCTACCAATTTCTATTGCCCTGTGTCTGATAATTCTGCCATCCCTAATTTTTGCTGCTCAGTTATAATCTTCTAAATTTTTGCCACCCCTAAATTCTGACAGCAAGGATCACACTGGTTGCACATGTTCTGGCACCAGTACCATGGGGGATTAGCATTTCTCTATCAGACCTAAAGAATTTGTCAAGCCAAAATGCTGTTATGTCTACATGGCATTATACTAGATTTAAACTAATCTTAAATCTGAAATTGCTTATGTATATATATATATATATTATGTGTGTGTCTTGACTTTGCTTTTAAAACTTTCAAGTTCATACAGTTCTACCACATCTTTTTTAAAGCAACATCTGTACTTTATCACCACTGGTATACTTAATCATCCAATAAATATGGTGTGGATATTTCAAATACTGCCAAAGGCTTATGAAGCACCCACTTTAACAAAGAAGTACCCAGATTTCAGATACATGTTATAAAACTGCAGGTATTCTGTGTAAAATTGCCATTATTATATACATTCAATATAAACATTCAAGGATTGATAAAAATATTCATAATTTAGATTTTAAGGTTATGATATGAAACAGGTGACTATAACAAAAATAACTGGTGATTTGAGAAGTAATTATTTTCACAATAAGAATACATTACAAAAAAAAATTAAATCAATCTCTATATGCTGTTTTTGCGCTTAAGCGCTGAAAATTACAAAGCCTAAAGTCAGATATGGGGACTGTTTGAAAAGTTTTGGTTTAACATTTTAAAATTCTTTATTGCATTTATCGGATTTTTTTTAATTTATTATTCCGAATTTCAATTTTGGTCTTTTGAAATTTAACCAATTTTTCACAACACAAAACGAAATTCATTAAACATGCTGAATATAACATATGTTACTGTGAAAACCCGAAATTCGAGAACACGAGCACGTCGACTTCACGGATGTCAACATTCACAAAATACGTCGGTGAAGATCGAATATTGCCATTGCATTCTTGTACATTCGGGCCTCATCGGTGTATTTCAACAACACAGATATGCTTGTGTAGGTCGGAAAGAAGGTACATGAGTGCTGTATTGCAAAGGAAAGTGTTCCACAAATAAATGCAATGTAAAAGCAAGGGCCTCGTGCAATTCAAATGTCTAATAGTTTAAGTTGTTGCGAAATAAGATTTGAATCACGTAATTTAGTAAGTTTTTTATTAGTATTATTTTATTTTCTCATTTAGAATGTACTGTATAATTAAGAAAGTTTATAACTGCTATTATTTTCTTTCCTCATTTTGAATGTACTGTGGGTTTTAAGTTCTTATATTCTTATTTTAATTCTCAAGTGCGTTTTTTCGAGACTGAATTACGAAGAAGAATATATAATATTCTTATATGTTCAACATTCACCATTACACAGTGAATGTCGCGTTACCGTTAGTCGAATAAGAGTATTTGGAAAATATTTCAGACATGCACCAAGCGACTACATTTACCGGTGAAAGTTGACATTCTCCAGATTTCGGTGTTTCACTGTAACACACATACATGTGATAATTGCTGTAAATGATTTGAGGATTTGAATATAGTGTAGATACATCAGATGATACAATGATGGGGAAAAAAATTGCAGACATTAGTGTAGATAACAAGACAAAATTTTATTTCTTGATAACTAATTCTGAACACATATATTCTCATTTACACATTGCTATGAATGTGATATGCACCTCAGAATTTTTCATAGCATATATTTTTTCAAACAATGGAAGACATAGAAAACAGAGCGATGCAACAGTACACTTTAGCATAGCAAGAGTAGAGCAGATAAAAGTGAGTGTGCATTTCAGCAAAGAATATTTAAAGAGTTGAATCCTTTGCTTAAATACACACACACACACATATATGCAAGATTGTTACGTTTAAGGCGTTCGTGCGATTTTGAGTGAATAACGACGACACTTGATGAAATATTGAAACACACTTTATTTACCAATATTAATCAGGACAGATTCAGAACACTTTTACAGTTGTCGAAGATCTACTATAAACATGCTGGAACAATCAGCGACACAGCCTTCACACTGTAACGATAGAGATAGCTTCACTGCAAACCACCAGAGTACAGTTCCCGACTCTGCTCGGTTGTTCTCAAACTCCACATTCTCTTGAGACTCCCCACGCACCTCGAGATGCACCTCGACGAACACAAGAACAGCTCCCGACTCTTTGGTTTAGTCGTTCCCGGAGCTCAACACACTCTCTCGACAATGCACTAACCGTGATACACTAAGAGACTCTTCAATGCATTCGACGACCACTTGGCACTCGCTGCCCGGCTCTCAACTTGATTGACTCATTCCGCACGGATTGTCTAACTCAAGACTAACTATCTCGCACTCACTCTCCGCATACCAGCAGGGTTTATATAGTTTTGGGCTTGCGTTCAAGAACATTTGGGGCTAAACAGGTAAGAATTCGTTCCAGAAGGTTCTCCATCCGTCCATGGCATATCGCCAATTTTGTCGCCAAATGGGGCAACCCTGCCTTCCTTTGCCATTTTATGGCAACCCTAAAAGTGCTTTGTGGAGAAGCTATTTTACCATGCCTGGACATTTCGATATGATGTCTATGTTAAGATATAACTGGCGACCTTAACATAGACTATTCTGAATTTTATGTTCTCCAAGTTCATCCTTTCTCTCAAATTCGAGATATTTCCAAATTACATAACACTGCTTGAAAAAGATAACTAAAACTATAATTAACCAATCATGGCTTAGCTTCACATATGCACCTGCGTAGTATAAATATTGCATCGCAAGCAATGACACCTTCCTTTTTTCCTAACTTTTGCCATGCAACAACTCTGTGCCGCTTATGCTGTCTAAGATACTTACGTTGTACCTTTAAAAAGTGTACATCAAAATTTATTGTATTCAACGATGATTGAAAAGTAATTTGTCTGACAAAGAGATGATGTGTAAAAATAGAGAATGGTGATTCTTCAATTCAGTTTTGTTAGCTGCTGAGTTTTCACCCTCAGCCTCTACGAGTGCATTAAAATGTTATATATATATAAATAATGCAAAGTAAAATAAAATAAAATAAAAATCTGAAAGGTTTCAGATTTTAAATTACATCCAAAGGGGTGGTCTTTTAACATTTTGTTTTATTTGAAAGACTTTATTTATGAAATATCATGTTCTTCACACTTAAACCATAAAATTCAATTCAATAGCAATATCACAAAATCATTTTAAAATGAGCATATCTTTAGAATTTCCGATAGACAATTCCACACGCTGGAGATAAAAAAGGTTTTTCTTTTCCCCGTAGAGTGTTGCTACTGCTCGCAACTGCAGGTTAAAAAAAAAAAAAAAAATCATAGAGAAGGATTTTTGTAAATTTTCTAATAATTTCTAACTTTAGTTAATTATGACCTTAGTTTTTTTTTTAAAATTAAATGGTATGATTTGAACAATTTATCTTCACTCCCCCCCAAAAGAAAAAGAAATGAGGGATGTTTTATTATTTACATAAGATTAGGCAACTAGTGGCCAAGTGAATAAAAGGATGAAATACTGGTAGTCCTTCCTCTGTTCTATTTCCAGCAGTTGAATTATCTGGATGCATTAGGTTTCGCTCCCTTCACATGGGCCTGTTTCTTTTAGAAAGCTTCTTATCACGCCATCTCCCTTCAAAGGTTCATAACCTTTATGCACTATGCATAATATAATACTCTAATCCAATTCAAACAACATTAGCCTCAAAATAAATAATCAGTAAACATACCAACGAAATGCGATAAGATTTAAAAACTCATTCATAATCCATACTGGTATGAAAAGCAGATCCATGTGTAGGCATTCTATGATAGTACTATTCCATTTTCTCCAGATCAAGAAATAAAGTTGAATATATTGAATATTTTATTAGCTTTAATGCTCAATATTTTATGGATTAAAAAAAAATCTTTCCTAATGTTTAACTACGGTCTTAAAATGTTACAGTTTATCCACAGCATGCTAACTATTCTAAAACTTTTCTGAAGACTCAATTAAATTTAGTCACTGTGAATAAAGTTGAACTACTATTTATTGCTATAAAATACACTTTTAATAGATTTAAATGCGAGTTGGACAAAATGTGTGAGAGAGATTTTTACTGTGTAAAATCTATTTTGCATCAATACTATGAATGTTGGGAATAAGTTACAGGAAATTAAATTTTCATTTTTAAATAAAAAGCTTCCATGTTTGAAGTATGTGTAAAACGTTACTAATTTTATTCAAACCATTTAAATCCAACCATTTCAAAAAATGGATGTATTAATTGCAACTTACAGTCCCAACAGCCTGTGGAGCATTGAAAAGAGAAGAGACCATTTGTATAATCTCAGCTTCCATGACTCTAATACCAGGAAAAACATCAGGGTGAAGAGGATTTGTGTAACCTGTCTCCCCATACACATTCTTCATGAGTAACTTCAAAGATTCATCATTGCCAGGATAAACAGCACCAGACACATAGCCTTCTTGCCAAGAATATCTTCCAAATGATAAATATTTTCCAATTTCTTTTAATATGTCTTCCTTCATTAAAAAAATAACATTAATATGAATAAATTGAATGCTCAAAAATTAAAATATAAGTAAATTCAGAAAAAGCAATAAAAAGTGCAAATATTTAAAATATACTTACACTTTTCCAATGAGTTTCTGGAATTTCCCTCAGAAAAACTTTATTTTCTAAGCCTTTCAACAATTCTTTTTCAACTTCATCTGAAGAACTTTTCATCTTCTTCTCAATACTTTGTTTTACATATGGTAACTGACGTACAAAATACCAGAAACGTTGAGATATTCCATCTCCTATTGAATTCATTAATGCTATCTTTTACCAATCACGTCTAAATTTTTTATCTACTTAAGATAACTATTTAAACTATTCATTACAGCTTTTCATGCTAAAAAGAATTATACATAGATAGACATATACTGGCATGCACTAAACACAAAAAACATTTACCTTTAATTAACGAATTACAAGAAGAATTAAATTCACATAACTTAGTAAAAGAATTATTTCTTTTAAGCTGTTTATAAAGGGTGTCCCAAAATTAAAGCAAACTTTGAATTTGCCACCATTCGTGCAGTAAAGTGCTGGCATCCCTACTAAATAAAACCATTTGAAGGGCTGATAGTTTAGGGTTAGCAGAAATGAAGCGTTACAGGATAGAACAAGTTGTGTTCATTGTTAACCAATATTTCAAAAATAATGAAAATCTGGGGGACACAGATCGAAAATTTCTTACAAAATAATGGTGGAAGAGTGTTAACTTCGTCGACTGTAATAAGATTTAATTCATGCAGACTGAATCAATCGGTGATGCTAAACACACTGGTCGTCTAAAAACAAGCTGTTCAAATGACAATATTGAAGGAGTGCATGAGAATGTTGGTGAAAGTTCAGGAACATCAGTTCAGTGTCGTGGACAAGAATTGCAAATTTCAAGAAGCTCTCTACAGTGCGAAGATTTGTGTCTCCATGCTTACGAAGTTCAATTAACACAACAACTGAAGCTTAATGACCATGCACAGCGAAGAGAGTTCGTTGAATGGATTATTGTTGAATGGAACATCAAAATGTGGATGCCGATTATTCCAACAAAATCATTTTCAGCAATGATGCATATTTTCACTTTGATGGCTTTGTTAATCATCAAAATTGCCGCATCTGGGGTTCAGAGAGCCCATATGTGATTGTCGAAAAACAAATGCATCCTCAACGTGTCACTGTTTGGTGCAGATTTTGGGCTGGAGCCATCACTGGACCATACATTTTTGAAAATGAAGCTGTTAAGCAGTGGATGTTACTGGTACTCAATATCGCAGCATGATAACACAGTTCTTTCTGCCTAAATTGGATGATACTGATGTGGATGACACGTGGTGTCAACAAGACGGTGCCACATGTCATACAGAGCATGAAACAATTCAATTACTGCATGAGGCATTTTCTGGCAATGTACTCTCTTGTTTCGGTGATGAGAATTGACCCCCTAGATTGTGTTATTTAACACGCTTGGATTTCTTTTTATGGGATTATTTGAAGTCTATACTAACAAGCACCTAAACAAGCATGCATTGAAGGAGGTAGTTCAACGCTGCATCAACGAAATTCAGGCACATTTATGCAAAATGTTCCTGAAAAATTTCAACAAAAGAGTATTGCCAGCAAAGCCGCAGAGAACATCTACCTAATCTGTTATTCCATACATAACCCTATCCTATGTACTTTACGATTCAATAAAAAAGTAACAATTTAAAGGAAAAAAAACTGTGTTTTTTATTTAATTCAAATCTTGCGTTAATTTTGGGACACCCTTTATGAGACTTCAGATTCAAATCAAGTTGAAAAATATTTTCACTGAAATGCATTACAGATGCTTTTACTCTTAAATGAGGAGTAAGGGCACACATTATTAAATAAGAACATCTTAAAAGAATCTTAGCAGTAGCAGAAAACTGCTACAATAAATGCTCCATCTAAGCAGTAGGCTGCAATTTAATATGCTGTTAGCTATTCTTCCATCTGTAATTAATGTAAAAAAAAAGAGATAATTTTTTCTTATGACAAATTTTAAGCTAAAAGATTCTAAGATGAATAATCAACATTTCTCATCAGCTTCTGCATTACACTAAAGGACAAATATCAAGCCCATTATAAATTTATAATAACTGCTAATGTACTTTAATACATTATTAACTATAAAATTTGCATAACAAGTTTAAAAAATTTGGAATCTATCTAAATACATAGGAAAAAAGGAAGTATTTATCAGCAATCAACAAACATGGAATTTTACATGCATAAAACCAAAATTATTACTGAACATGAAGTTTTAGCTCCAGAAATCAATGCTATTTTTGTGCATTTGGAACGAAAAAGTCTTTTTATCTACTTAAGATTATTATTTAAGTCATTTATCACTGGATTTCATGTTGAAATGGATTTTATATACAGTGAAATTCGTTTAACACAAAAATGCTTAAGACAAAATATCGGTTAACAAGAAATAATACAACGGTCCTGACAAACTACTACGTATTTTTATGCATTTTGTTTCTCTTAACACGAAAAGATTTCCTTTCTGGGAATGAGCAAAATATGGAAAACACCGGCTTTGCAGGCGAGATTTTAAGAGGGGTGTGAAATGAAAGAGAGGTGGTTTCACATGTTTCGTAGAAAGGAGGCTAACTTGGTTTTGAAATACTCTCGGAAAAGCCTGTGATACGAGCCAGTTTTGTTTAACTAAGCTACTTTCACCCTCCACCCCTACAAATGCCACACAAACTTTTCATATCTCATCAGTTGGCTTTGGAATTCGGTGACAAGTACACCATAGTGTGAGTAAAAATTTGTGAGTTTGGTTCATATGTTGCACTCTGCATGTCTCGGTCTCTTCATATGTTGAACTCTGCATGAAATTCAGTGACTCCAAAGACGACTGAAAATTGTTTTCATCATACACGATTTTCAAAAGTATCAGATTCTTTGGCGCCAAAAGAAATGGAGAAAAAGAACGTTGACACTGAGCCAACACTTAATGAAATGTTTGAGAAAGTTTGTATTATTGGACTGTCCTACTGTATTATTCAAAGAACTCATTGTAGTAGATGATGATAATGTGTGTACAACACCAATTATGGCAAGACAAAGACATTTTGAAATTTGTTCAAAACTCAAAAAACATCATTGATGCAGATTCCGAAGACAAAAATGAAATGAATAATGCCGCTATTGTTCCCTCGTCATCCAAAATGAGGAACATCATGAAATGTATGCACAGTTATTTAGACGTACATTCCAATAGGGAAATGAATAACAAAGTGAATGATATTGATCAATTTGTTAACAATTTGATGCTAAAAAAGACAATGTAAAGAAAAATATCAGATTAAAAAACTTGAAAATTTTGTATTTAATTTCATTGAGTTCTTGTGGGTTTTTTTCCATTCCTTTTTATTAAATACATACATATATACATATCTATGTAAATAAAATGTACTCTAATAAACTTAATTTTATTGAATATATAGCTTTTTTTTTTTTTTTTTTTGGCAATATCCTTTAACATAAAAAAAATTTCAGTCCCCTCACTTTCGTGTTTTCACTGTATATAGAAACCCATAAATTTTCATTAATATCATAAAATGTGCTTTTAAAGCTTAGGAAGTAACATAAAATATTATAATAAAGAACAATGGAACAAAATTTTGTATATAATGCAATTAAAATTCTAAGAAACTTACTATCCATGACTTCAAGCCATAATGTCAAATAAAATATTAATGACATTGTAACAAAAGTGCAAAGAATGATTTCCCATGGCTCCAGACCATGGCACATCCAATTGAGAAAATTTTTAACTGTGATTGGCAATTTTGATATATTAAATTCTGAAGCCATCTATCTATAACTGAGGAAAAAAATATAATTAAAAAGCATCCCTTTACATATATTTTAGAATAAAGAAATCTCAGGATTAATGAGGTACATTAAATATAAAAATTTATTTAGTGACAATATTTCAGACTCCTCAAAAAAAAAAAAATATATATATATATATACAGTCAAAAAGTCGTTTAATTCGGACACCCATAATTCGGAATGATCTATAATCCGGACATAAAAAAACTAAAAACTTTCTGCGCATGCGCCGCGTTGACATGCGCAGAGGCGTTCACGCGTGCGCGTAAGACCTTTTACGACTGCGCATATGAGTGTGCGCAAGTGCAGAATACGTTTTCGCGTGCGCATTTTATGTATAATGGACGTATAAGCTAAAAATTATCTAATTATCTATTTCAGTTTAATGTTGATGATTGCGTTGTTCCTTAATTTTCGAATTGCATCCGGCTTATTATTTTTTGCAGACTGTAAGAGCAATTTTATAAAAGTAAGCTTAAACTTTCGATTATATCAAATAGAATTTCCGATATATATTGTTAATATGTAAAGGATCTAAAGCGAAAGTGTGTTTTGAAATCCGAAATCTGTTTATCAATTTCACGCTGCTCCGCGGCGGGCGCGTAATGAATTGGAAGTTGATTTGTCAGCACTATCCTTATCTTCAGCGCAGATGTTTTTATTTTATTTGGCTTATAATTCCTTACCAAATGTAGTATTTCATCTCGATATGCTCCGTCTTTGATATGATTTAAAACAAGTTCCTCGTCATTATAATTCGCTTCCGATAGCGAAGAAAAGTGACAGAGGTTATTGAAAACAAAAAAATTTCGATTGACAAATTAGTCGGTGTTCTTGACACAGCAATTATAGGACTTGAACGGTGGAACTTTGTAACTGAACAAGAAATTATGTCTGTTTAATAGAATTAAAGAGAAAGTATTATCACATGAAACGAAGCAAAACTTAAACAACTCACATTGAAAGAAATGTTTAATAAAGTAAACAAATAAATATTAAGCTTTTTCTTTTTGCAAATTTTGATACCCTTTAGATCATAATTGTTCTTTATTTCATAAATTACGGTTTCATATTTTTAATTTTAGAATTTCTGCATGCCATCTTACGAGATTTAAACTGATGATCTATAATCCGGAAAAATCGATAATCCGGAATCGCCGAAGTCCCGACGAGTCCGGATTAACGACTTTTGACTGTATATATATATATATATATCTTCTAAATTAAATATTTAATCTACAATTTTAATTGTCTTGCACCAAATATGTCTAAATTACTTTAGTAATTAACACTATAATAAAATTCTTTAAAAATGATGAAATTCATAATTTATTTTGAGAGATATATCTCCACAGCTCGAAAAAACAGAAAAAATAAAAATTCTTAGTAAAGCCAGTAATCTAAATTACCCCCCCCCCTGAAAAAAAAAAGGCTGGAGTTTTGTATGTATGTTTTTTATCATACAGAAATTTTTAAAAATATTAATTTTCTCACTAAAATGAACAACTACAGGCTCAAATTATTAATGCAAAATTACATTAATTGAATTTTCAAAATCCATGAATTAATAATGTAGATGGGATTTTAAATCACTCTTAGCTTTAAATGAGACAGTGAAACTATTTTTTCTTTCAAGGATAGTCCTTTTAATCTTATTATTCATTGCAGATTTTCAAATGAAAAAAATAATATGAAACATGTATCACAGCAATGTCATTCTAAGGTGATTATATTATTACACAAAATAGCAAGCTAAATAAAACAGAGTAATTTATTAATTCTATATAAAATTAAACTTATTTAAAACTGATTTCACAAAGTAATAAATACATTAACAAATTGTATTCAAGAACAAAAAAGTTTTTTCTCATTTTAGGAAAACACAGTATTCCTGTGAAACTTTTAAAAATCAAAATGATATAAAAAAAAAGAAGCAGTCACCATTAACCTGGATGACGGGAAAAGTTTTTTGAATATTCAATGTTCTCCAAAAGAATTACCACATTATACCAAAATAACACTTAAAAAAAATCTACTGATATAATATGTATATATTCTTCATTCTAAGTAGAAATAATGTATATACACAATGTAGTTTCCAGGGTTAGGAAATAAATCAAGCTCATTATAAGACTTTGAGGCAAGGGCTGCAATGATGGTGCATTATGCTCAGTTGCTGGAGATCAGATAGTAAAACATGCATGAGAGACTAGTGTGCAAGCAATAGATCACAGAAATGTTTTACTTGTATTTCATTTTCATTTCACCCTTTAGATCACTATGCCTGCACACACAAATATAGAAAACTGAGATCTAACATGTGCAGTGCCTGATCTGAAAGTGAACATATTATCTTTGATCTTCTGACACCAATTGTTACGTTATTTTCTTCCTTCACGTTCGTACGGGGTTCGTATGGATTTGGAGAGAATAATGACAACACTACTTGATGAAGTATCGAAACACACTTTATTAACCAAGATTGTCAGGACAGTTCCAAAACACGTTTCACAGTCGTCCATGAACTCCTATAAACTCGCTGACACGATCAGCGACACAGCCTTCAGGTTATCACGATGGAGACAGCTTCACTGCAAAGCACCAGAGTACAGCTCCCGACTTTGCTCGGTTGTTCTCGGAACTCCACATACTCTCGAGACTCTCTACGCTACAACTCGCGATGCACTTTACGGCGCACAAAGCACGGCTCCCAACTCTTCGGTTCAGTCATTCTCGGAGCTCAACACGCTCTCTCAATGATGCACTAACAGCGATACACTAAGAGACTCCTTCGGTGAACTCGACGACCCACTCGGCACTCACTGCCCGGCTGTCAACTCGATCGACTCCACAGGGATTGACTCGCTACACGAGACACCAACTCGATATTGACTATCTCGCACTCTATGCGAGGCACACACACACTAACTGCCTGTCGACCAGCAGGGTTTATATAGCTTTTGGCTTGTGTTTGAGAACATTCTGGGCTAAACCGGTAAGAATTTGTTCCAGAAGGTTCTCCGGTAAAAGTATAGTTTAGGGTACCCCTTGGCGAAACTTGGCGATTTTTGGCGGTACATGGATACCAATTTTGTGCAATTCTTTGACTCGTTATTTTGGTTTGAGAAGCGGCAATTTTTGCCCCAAAAATTGAAATTGCCGCTACACAAAACCAAAATAACAAGACAAACAATTGCACAAACTCAGTATCCATATACACATAAACTTATTTTCACTTAAAAAAAATCCCCGAATTGCACAAAAATCGCACTGTGCACTCCTTTGACTTTATCCATGTACACGTCGACCTATTTTCACTTAAAAAAATCCCCGAATTGCACAAAAATGGCATCGCACACTCTTTTAACTTTATCCATGTACACGTCAACCTATTTTCATTTAAAAAAAATCCCAGAATTGCATAAACTTGCATTGTGCACTCCCTTTATTTTGTGCGTACACAACGATATATTTTCACTTAAAAAAAGTCAAAGGAGCACCCAATTCTACAATATAGGCAAACCAAAAATACGTAGCATATTCGGAAACTAAGTACCGTTTCATTCTAGCGCCGTCACAGTGCTGTGGTAGGCGTCCTGCGCATGCACACTAGTCTTTCTTATTCACTGACTTTCAATTGTCGCCATTTTGGTTGCTCTAAGTTGTGTTTTCAGTTTGCTGTGCACATTCAAAATGTTTAAGACAATTAGTTCTCCCTCTGACTGTGAGATTCGTGCCGTGATTAAATTTTTGAATGCGAGGAATGTTAAACCGGCCGAAATTTATTGTCAAGTGACAGAAGTTTACGGTGAATACGCGATAAGTGATGGAATGGTGAGAAAGTGGGTAAGAATGTTTAATGCAGGTCGAACAAATGTCCACGCCAAGGCTCGGAGTGGTCGGCCTTCTGTTGTCACCGATGATTTGGTAAGGAAAGATGATGAAGCAATTCATGAGAACAGACGCTTCACAATGACAACTCTTTCACAAATTTCACGTACTGTTTTGTTCGAAATTGTGTCTGACCGCTTGAATTATCGCAAACTCTGTTCCCGATAGGTTCCAAAAATGCTCACTGATGTTCACAAAACAAAGCGACTTGGTAGTGCCCTGACATTTCTAACGTGGTACAGTGATGAGGGAGAAAACTTTTAAACCAAATTGTGACAGGTGATGAAACTTGGGTGTGTCATTTCACACCAGAATCGAAACAACAATCGATGGAGTGGAGACACACTCATTCTCTGAAAAAAAACAAAGTTTCAAAGTGACAATGTCATCACAAAAAAATCATGTGCACTGTCTTCTGGGATAGGAAAGGCGTTTTGCTTACTGAATTTCTTCCCAGAGGTGAAACCATTAATGCGGCATGATATTGTGAGACTTTAACAAAACTAAGGCGTGCCATTCAAAAGAAACGAAGAGGAATGCTGAGTAAAGGAATTGTGTTGCTCGATGACAATGCTCGGCCCCATACTGCTGGTGTCACTCAATCGTTAATTCGACAGTTTCATTGGGAGCAGTTCGATCACACGCCGTACAGCCCGGACTTGGCGTCGTCCGACTATCACTTGTTCCTGCACATGAAGCGCGAGCTTGGTGGCAAGCGCTTTGGATCTGACAATGACACGAAAAATGCTGTGGAGTCGTGGTTATCGAAACTGGCGGGAAGTTTCTTTGACGATGGTATACAAAAACTGGTCACCCGCTATGACAAGTGTTTGATCATTGGCGGAAACTATGTTGAAAATAGTTTAAGACACGTATTTTCATGTAAAAATAAAATTGGATTCGAAAAAATTGTTTTATTTTTTTTTTTTTTCAAAACGGTACTTAGTTTCCGAATACGCCTCATACATAATCTCAATAAAATACATTTTAAACCAAACAATAAAATAACATAAAATAGAAAAAAAATGTTATACATTTAAACACTACCAAAAGCAAATATTCACTTACTATGATTTGAGTTCGCTTCGCACACCCAGAGCCACGTAAAAACTAAAATATCAATCATACTCAAATGACTGTTTTCACACCAGGTACTCTTTCTGATCGAACGCTTCACATAGTGACCATCTGAATCTTTCTTCCAACAAACCCATTCAAATCCATCTAAACGGTTTTTAACGTTCGACTAGACGCATATCCTTCCTATATACAAGACACTTATAATGGCTACTAAGTAAACCTTCATTTACACACCAGTCAATTAAAGCTCTTTTCCCCTTTCACTACAAATTGTACAGACACTTCAAATTAATCTTACTACATTCGTCCATTCTACCTTCTAAAGAATCAAACCAATACACACCACAAAATTGCTTACAAAACATTCCATGATTCAAAATTTCCCAGAATCATGCACCCGATTACGTCACAATAGGGTTTCCATAACATTTAACTACGCAGGCTACCATAAATGAACAACAACTTCGCGATAAATCAAACAACAACTTCATCATAATACAAGTTGTACCTTAAAGTCTACTCTACCCGGTTCTCCAACCGTCCATGGTATATCACCAATTTTGTCGCCAAATGTGGCAACCCTGCCTTCCCTTGCCATTTATGGTAATCCTAAAACTGCTTTGGGGGAAGCTATCCCACTGGGCCTGTACATTTCGTAATAATATGTTTTATTTCTTCAGTTTAAAACATTACTTTCAACTTAAAGCTTTTTGCAGACAATGAAAATATCTTGAAAATTTGCTCTAAACTTGCATGCCCTTTCATAATAAAAGTCATAGCAGTAAGCTGTAATAGTTTTAAGTTAAACTATTCTGACACACTTATTAGTTTATATTCCAGCAACTAAATATACAGAACATAAAATTAAATATATTTAAAATGAACTGTTCAAAATATCAATGTCAAATCATAAGAAGAGGACTTTCTATAATAGTATTTCACCATAAATCAATGTCATATGGAAACTTTTGCTTTTATTCAATAGAGGAAATGATTCAAGAGACAATTGTATACTTTTTTTCACATCAGGCTAGTACATGAACTTGCAAAAGTTATTACAGACAGTAATCTTTACATGTAGGATGTGGAACATTTTATATTTTGCCAGTGCACAAAATCAGCGTACTTGATTAATAAAGCTGATTGCCAGCTTTAAAAAGAAAAAAAGAACTTAGCCATAATTTTGTTTTGTGCCCTCTGAGAAGGAGGAAGAAAAAAGAATGTGAAATGCTATTGGGATTTGTTTTAGCATTGCAAAAGCTATTAAATTCAATCTTAAAAGCCAAATAAATCAAGACATACTTGTATAAAAATTCCAAAGTTCAATTTTAAAAGACCAAAAAAAAAAAAAAAAAAAAATATTACTTTTTATTTCTGAAAATTCTTAAGACACAAAATAAATTTCCACACATTACAGAGACTCCTAATGCTACAATAATGACATTTACAATCTTAATACTGATTATCAGCCTCCATGAGATAAAGGATTTGGCCCTTGAAAGCTGAAGCTCCCAAAAGGGTCATGAAAAAGAGATACTTTCTTAATTGTAATTCTAAAATGCTCCTATCATTTTATATCTGAACTCCTTACCTTCTGATACACATACTATATTCTCAGCACATTATAATACACATACCAGAAAAATGTCAAGTCTTCAATCGAAAAAATGTTTTGCTAAAAAAAAAGTAAATGCATATATAATAAAACATAACATATTAACATTTTTACTAATTTACTACAGTCAAAAGTCGTTAATTCGGACACCCATAATCCGGACCTCAAAGCTAAAAACTTTCTGCGCATGCACTGCGTTTACACATGCGCATAGGCGTTAACGCGTGCGCGTAAGACCTTTACGACTGCACATATGCGTGTGCGCAAGCGCAGAATATGTTTTCGCGTGCGCGTTTAATGTATAACGGACGGTATAAGCTAAAATTATCTATTTAAATTAATGTTGATGATTGCGTTGTTCCTTTATCTTCGAGTTGGATCTGGCTTATTATTTTTTGCAGACTGTAAGAGCAATTTTATAAAAGTTAACTTGAAGCATGTTTCGATGTCCATCAAACAAAAAGTGGAATTGCTGCAAAAAATGGATAAAGACATGAAGAAGGTGACAGAGAGGTTAGTAAAAACGAAAAAATTTCGATTGAGAAGTTAGTCGGTATTCTCGGCACAGCAATTACGGGACTTGAACAGCGGAACTTTGTAACTGAACAAGAAATTATGTCTGTTTAATAGAATTAAAGAGAAAGTATTATCACATGAAACAAAGCAAAACTTAAACAACTCACATTGAAAGAAATGTTTAATAAAGTAAACAAATAAATATTAAGCTTTTTCTTTTTGCAAATTTTGATACCCTTTAGATCATAATTGTTCTTTATTTCATAAATTACGGTTTCATATTTTTAATTTTAGAATTTCTGCATGCCATCTTATGAGATTTAAACTGATGATCTATAATGCGGAAAAATCAATAATCTGGAATCGCCGAAATCCCGACGAGTCCGGATTAACGACTTTTGACTGTATTTAAAACTGGATCCAAGTGTATTTTGTGCAATTTTAAGAAACTCGCATGCAAATATTCAACTCGATTTTTTTTTAATTCTAGCAAAAAGTATGCTTTCTATTTATAAGTGCAGCAGATATATATTTATGAATAACATCCATTAAAAACTGAAATATTGATGTTTGGAATAAACCACCTTCTATCTAAAGGGTATAGTGATTCCTTACTGATATTTTCACTTTTAAAGTAAGTGTAGAATTTATATGTAAATTAGGAATCTAAAAGGTAAAGTGATTCCTTACTGATATTTTCACTTTTAAAGTAAGTGTACAATTTATATGTAAATTATAAAATTTGCAAACTTTTTTTAAAAATAAAACTCTCACAATGAAAATATGCAACATTACTGCACCGCTGTAAAGAGTTCAATATTAGGCTCTAATGTAGAATTGGGTGCCCCTTCGACTGGCGATAAATTTTATTCAATTTTAGCAATGAGTAACTTCTTATTAACCTTACACGATGTCATCATTCTCCTGATTTTTTTTAAAGTGAAAATAGAGCGATGTGTACATGGACAAAGTTCAAGGCAGTGTGCGATGTCCAGTTTGTGCAATTCTCTGATGTTTTTTGAAGTGAAAATAGAGTGATGTGTACATGGACACCGAGTTTGTGCAATTCTTTGAATTGTTATTTTGGTTTTGTGTAGTGGCTATCTTGATACTTGCGGCTGCCAATCTTGCCATAAAAAAATAATGACCAAAAAAAAAAAAAAAAAAAAAAAAGGCATCCAACTGTAAACTTTTACCCAATATTACCTAAAAACTACTGAAAACAATGCAATACTGTTGAAAGTAATGCAATACTGCATTCAGCATTTCAATAATTTGTAGTAGTTCTAGTATATCCTCAGTTATACGTATACAATTCAAAGCTTAATTTATCATGTAACACTTTAAAATAACTTCTAGAATTATTACGAGACATCTGAAAATAATTAATGACAAAAAGCATCTTCCAGAAATCTAGACAAATTCTGAAGTTATGAAGTAGCAGGCCGATTTCATCTAACTTTTTGAAGGCCCTCTCATCCAAAGGTACAGGCAATGTTTACAGCCATTTTACACTCATTTTCTTTGACTACTGAAGTGATCTGAAGATCCCTTGGAATACAAGGTCAATCATAGTCTACACCTTGCACAGTCTCATAAAGGCTACCACAAAGATGCCCTATATTGTCATACTTCTGTTTCTGAAAATATCTGTATTGACAAAAGGAAGCAGTTATTTGTTGGAGCAATACTTAAGGAGCATAGACAGCATGCTATGACTTAAATCCCAACACTCTGGATCTTTGCAATATAAATAAAGAATTTAAACCAAAAATAATATGCCCCCCCCCAGAAAATAGTGTTTGTGATTCCAAAATTTAGAATTCTTGTTTCTTATATCTGGTGAAACACTGCAAAATTCTTTTTTTTATAATTCATGTTTTCCTTTGCCAGCCAACTAACTAATATATCCAGAAAATAGGAGTACTATTTTAGCAGACTTTGGATAATAGATACTCCATAGCAATTCACAAATTTCTGCTATTAGTTACAATTACTGAGTTTTCAATTAATTTAACATTTACAATAATACTGCACTGTATTATAGTGAAGAGCTTTGATACATTTTCAAACTCTTTCTTTTCTGAAACAGCAGTAATAACAAAATACAGACATAAAAACTCTTTTGCTTTGTTTAATATACTTTAAGCAATCTTTGTAGTTCCGGTTAATTGCATGTAAAATTTTTGCCATTACCTTTCAAAACTAAAAATAAGCAGTCACTTCTGTGATACTCAGATACCTGTAGGTGGAGGAAAAAAAAAAAAAAAAAAAAGAGTACTTATGTAATTGAAAGCGAACATTTCAAAAGCTAAAAATTGAAATTTTAACTAGCAAACTTTGTAAATATGCGGTCAATATTCCGACAATATTGCCAAAATTTTAAAACGCATGAAAGTGGGCAACAAAAGGTTAGTAAGCATTACTGACAAAAATAGTTTTTTGGATGGATTATGTATAGAGAGAAACATGCCATTCATTATGTATTGAAACATGGATTATGTCATGAGAGAAATAGGAGAATGTATTAAAAATATTATTAAAGAAGGACAGAAAGAATATAATCTTACCTCCCGCTTTCTAAAAATACCCTTTGTATATAACTGGTAATAATGAAAGAAATAATTTCCGCAACCTACAGGAAACACTCCATATACTATTAAGTCAATACGTTCAAAATCATATGGAATGATTCATTTAATTCCGCAAAGCCAATCAGAATTAAGAGCGAAATGCATCACGAAGTGCTTGAATGTACCCGCTTCTAAGATATCCTTTCCTTATCATTTTTCATCTTTTAAGCGATGACCTAGATTTTAGATCACTAACCTTATCAATTCATAACATTTTTATTATGAACTCAAGGACATAATAATATCAAACAACTTTTAAATGCAGTTTTATAGCGCACTTCTAACATTCGGTGTCTGCGGACAGAACAGAAAACGATGCGCACTTACAATTTAATTTGAAATCGAATAATAACATTAGAACTATATTAAAAGATATTAGAATTTAAATAAAAGCATTAGAACTTAATTAAATTAAATTTCAATTACAATGATACTGTTTATTTCTAATGAAATCGAATAATAACATTAGAACTATATTAAAAGATATTAGAATTTAAATAAAAACATTAGAACTTAATTAAATTAAATTTCAATTACAATGATACTGTTTATTTCTAAGAAAAAGAATTTTTAGATAGTTGAATAGTTTACATGGTAAATAAAGAGTGAATGCAGTATCGCAGTTATTGAATAGTATAAGTGTATGTCTCTACTTAACATAACTGAGATGTATCACCGGATTTCAGAGCCATTGAAGGTTAGCCAAAGAATGGTTGGGTTAGCCTTTAAGTACCGTGAGAGATGATCTGTTTTGTAAACAAGTTTAGTAGAGAGAGTGTTGTCAAAGAATTTGAATTGGAAGAGCTACAATACACTCTCCTTCATATTCTTCCAATACATTCCCCGTCACATTCTTTGGTGGTGTAGGACCAGGGTGCCTGAGTCTAATGACCCAAGGTTCTTTAATATACTAAGGTTAGGCAAATAAAGCAGGAATGGAAAAAGCGTGCCATTGGTTGCTGGTAGTGACGTCACCCGAGTGAGCCTGAGTGACAAGACAAGATACATCGGCCGACGCGTCTGCTGCATGATTTTGGTAATGGAAAAAATGTAAACTAAAGCAAAATGATCATTTTATATGTGGTAGTTATAATAACATACCGGAAATATCGGGTATATACTTTCCGATTAAGTATTTTGTTAAAGCAAATGTTTATTTTATATCACAGAATTCGTACGAATGCTGAAAATAATTGTAAACATTACATTTCCTTTTCTTAAAGGAAAGCATTAGAAAATGGAAAACGATATTTAAGTTAATTAAGGGAAATAAATATTGCAAAACAAGGTATTTTTGAATATTTTTCGTAGTATTGTTTGCACTAAATAAATCTTGTTGAACAGAACACATGATGGCATAACTGCTAAGACGTAAAAACATAATCAAAAAGTATTATTCTGTTTATTTTCATTGCTCATGCACCTTTTTTTAATACAAATGAACTTTGACATTCCATGAGAAATATATGATCGTGATTTTCAGTTTAAATTACATATCTCAAGCAAAAATATACATAAAAAGATTTGACTTAACAAATTCATATTTAAATACCATAAAATTCTACAAATTTCTTAATATCCGTCATTATACTTTTAAATAGTATACTTATCACATTCTTTTTAAAGTGAAAAGTCACTTCATACTGATTCACTTCAGATTTTAGCAGAAGTGCATATATTTTCAGTATAATCTAAAAGTACTCTTATAATCCCTTACACTCCAAGATTTCTATATAACATTTATCCTGACGTGATTATTTTGCTTTAGTAAATAATCTTCGATGGATTGGCATCCTATTCTTCCTTCCATACATTAAAAATGGAACAATAAAAATAAATTTTCTTACACATATACGCACAATAATAATAATAATAACTTGCCCTACATCTTAGTTTCGGAAGGAGATTCCATCCCAACCCCCCCGCAAGTTTGCTTTTCATTTGATTGTCATTTACGAGATCCACAAACACCATACAAAAACAATGGCGTTTTTTTTTCTCTTTCTCTCTGTGTGTCGTGTTATTCCATCCTAGGTTTTTTCTTCTCCCCCCCATCTTGGAAAAAACTGGAAAAAATTGGTCACGATCTCTTTTTGAATGGGGAGATGCCATTTTGAGAAAAAGCTGACGACCCTATCTTGGAGAATGAACATGACCGCTCTACACACCCTTTCTCTCTCTCTCTCTTTGAATTGGGAAGCCATTTTGGGAAAAAGCAGACGACCCTATCTTGGAGAATGGAAATGAACGCCTCTCCCTCTCTCTTTGAAATGGGAAGCCATTTTGGGACCCTCTATTCTTGGGGAGGGAGAAAACTGAAGTCTGCATTTCGCTGTCTCTGAATGCGGAAAGCCCTTTTGGGAAAAGCGGACCCTCTTCTTCTGATCTTGGAGAACTGGAAATGAACGCTCTACACGATCTCTCTTTGAATTCAGAAGGTATTTTGGGACCTTCTAATGTTGGAAAACTGAAATGAACGCTCTACACCTTCTCTCTCTCTCTCTCTTTCTCTGAAATGGGTAGCCATTTGAAAACTCCCTAACTTTGGAAAAAAACAGAAATGAACGCTCTACACCATCTCTCTTTGAAAATGGGGGGGGGTGTCATTTTGAGACCTCCCTCCCCTAAACTTGGAAAAAAAAACTGAAATGAACGCTCTACACTTTCTCTCTTTGGACATGGGTAGCCCTTTGGGGACCCTCTCCTCTTGGTAGAAAAAAAAAGAACTGAAGTGAAGGCTCTACACAATCTCTCTTGGAATGGGATCCATATTTCGGGAAACGTGGATCACCTCATGCTGGAAAACTGAAGTGAACCACCAAGATTGGACTCTATATAATATTTTTTTTAATTGACATCATGACCCTCCTCCAATTTGTTATTAAAAAAATTTTTTTTTTGTTTTGGTTTTTATCCCATTTCCGATGTGATTTCAGAAATGCAATTCCATAACAGTTCAATTTCATTCGAGGTTAAATGATCTAAACAGTCTTTGACCCACCCATCCGTATGATTATTTTCTTCTCCTTCCTGTTGCACCACCAAATTTTGTAAGTCCATATAATCATTCCATACGGGAAGGGCTGGATCCTCACAAGGCTGTCTTGAAACACTTGGAGTCTCTTTGGGATGAGTGGAGGGATCTAGGATGTCTGGACCCGTTGGAACTTGTTTACCCGGCTGTGATTCTGCCTCCATGATTTCTGGACCTGTTGGAACTTGTGGACCCGGCTGACATTCTACCTCTACGATGTCGGGACTTTTTGAAGCTTGTGGACCCGTCTGACATTCTACCTCTACGATGTCGGGACAGGTTGGAGGAGGAGAAGAAGAAGAAGAAGAGGATACTGGAAGAGGTTCTGTCTGTGAGGAGTCCGAAAGAGGTTGCCTGTTTGAACAAGTCGGGGAAGAAGAAGAAGAAGAAGAAGCTTCTGGATTCTGAAGCGGATCTTGCACGCCAGGTAGGTTCCGGTAAGTCGACCGTTTTTTAAGAGGTAATTTTTTTTCTTCCTCCTCATCTTCAATTGTGATGACTTCAATTTCATTCCGTTGCCGGGTCGATTTTGTTTCGGGCCATGACGGTTTGGTCCAGCTCCTCTTATCATCTAAGGAAGGGATGGGTAAAGGTGGCGGAGGGTTTTCTTTTTCTTCTTTTTCTTGAAAACATCATCGGCGATTGGAAAGAAATCTCCTCTTTCAATTGTTTCCAAAGCGAGTACGAGCACCGATCGACGAGAAAGAGACTCTTCTGGGTTGTGACGATGAGATATTGCGTTTTCGGGGGAACGACATAGTTTTGAAAAGGTCTTAGAATATATTTCTTATATTTCATCCTGTCGCTGACTTTAAAACTTCTTTCCTTCAGATTGGGGGACGATGATTCGTAATAGGCGAGAGGAGCGGCTGTGGTTTGAACAATATGAACTTCGTCCTCAGCCGTCGTTCTCACTCCAAACGTAAAATATCGTTTCGTGAGAAAAATATTCTTCCACCGAAAACTCGTGCGCGGATCTGTATATCGCCGGTCTGTTTGAATGGGCCGTCTCAAAGCTCGATCCATCCGATTCCAAGAGAAGGGAGATTCCTCTTTCGTTTGTTGCGATTCGAATAAATTTCTGTATATATTCTGAACGAGCAGGTTGGAGGATTCGACATCTTGGTTGAAAGAAACGATCGCTTGATGAGGTGGTAAATGCGGAATAAATGTCGCACAATGACACGCCAAAAAAATTTTCAAGTTGGAGATTTGCTTTAGCGTCTTCAAATCCTCCCCGTTCGAAATCCGTTGAGTTGGAAAAACGTCTAATAGCGACATGGCTCCCAATGGAAAAGAAATGATCTCGCCCAGTACTCTCGTCTTTTTATATATCTATATAGACACACACAGACACACATAGAGGCTCTATGACGTCCGTTTTATTTGTTTTTTTTTTTGTTTCTCTCTCTCTCTCTTCTTTCCAAGAAATCTTATCTCCATGACCTCTTTTTCTTTTCTTAAAAAGATGAATGTGTGTGGGAATGAGGAAGTGAAAGTAATAATTTAATAAACAAAAAATTATCCAACCATGACCTTCTTTTTTTTTCAAAGTCACACCCTTTCCAATCCAAGGACGTCCAGAGATAGAGGAAGCAGGGAGAGAGGAGGAGGAGGGAAGGGAAGGTCACACTCTCTTTCTCTCTATAAATAAAAGGGGAGAGCCCCAAAGTCGTATTTTTGTCCAAGTGGATCATGAGGAGGCATCCCCAGCTCACTACGTGTATTCCTTTCAAATATAAATATGTTGATCTTTCCTTTTATATCATCCAAGGAGTCGTTTACCTGAAAGCCTCCGATTTTTCAAAATGTGCGGGTTATTATACCGTGGGGAGTTATCAAAAGATGCGGGACGAATTTTTATCCGACGAAAACGTGTTGATGGCTCGTGACATTCCACCTTTGGATGCACAAATTTTGTTAATGAAACGAGCCAAATATTTTTACACGTCCCACTTTCTAACCGTCTCGCAAATGAATAGGATTATGGATCGTCTTGAGAAGACAAAAGGGATTCTCGTTCATTTTAGTGAATGGTTGCACAAATGTTTGCACGAACCTCTCTCGATCGAGAAGACTGGGAAGAATACCTATTATATTCTTCTCGAGGACTCTCCTCCTTCGTCTCATCTTAGAGAGGCCACGACTTTTGAAAAAATCCTCGAGCAAGAAAAAATAGAATGGTGGAACAACTACCCCATCCCTCTCCCCGAGCATCAAGAGGAGCCTGTTCAGAAGAAAAAGAAAAAACCTTTCCAAAAGCCTATCCTCATCCTCCTCGATAATGATGGGGATGAGGAGAAGCCTGTTCAGATTCCTCTCCGTTTGTCAAAACCCGTCGAGGATGAAAAACCTCTCCCTTCCTCAAAACCCCTTGAGGAAGAGAGACCCCTC